CACTTGAGCCTCCTTCCTCTTCCTCCTCATCATCATGCGCTTCCATTTCATTACCTGGAGATCTAAGCCTAATTAATCCCTTCATAGACCCATATCCATCAACTCCCCACTCTTCCTTCGCCATGTCACCCAAGAACTCTCTTGAGGGTGAGAATATAGGGGTGGGAAGAACGGCCGGGGTCACTGGAGAAGGGCACGCCAGCGAGGCAATCCCACCGGCCTTCTTCGCCCGGATAAGATATGAGGTCGTGTTCCTCGGCGCATATGGAGCAAAATGGTTGTCGAACTTTTTCTTAGGGTAAAATTTCCTGGCCTTTAACCTGTTCTGGGACTGCAATTCATTTAGTGTCGGGGGCTTGTAGCCTCCGGCACCACTGGGAACCGGAGCAATAGCAGGATTAGGAGTAGACTTATCAGTTCTTCTCATGGAATCCTTCATGGATCGCATCTCGCCGGTTACCTTCTTGCCCTTCCAATTGCCTCGATTTGACTGCTTCGGTAAGCGAGGAAAGTTATTAAGTTTCGAAGAAGAAGGGATTTGGTACTGCTTGTTCAACTTATGGTTAGGTTTGTAACTTCTACTATTCAACATCAGCGGCTGGTTCAACATAGGCTGAGATTGTCCCAAACTAAGGGGTTGAGGTTGATTCATCTGACCAAAAACCGGGAGGTTCATGGTCTGCGACTGACCCAACAACTGTGTCTGGTTCAAGATTTGGGATTGAACAGGGTTCATCACCGGCGGTAGAGGCTGACTCATCATCTGCGGCGGCTGGCTAATCATTTGTGGCGGTTGCTGATTCATCATTTGTGAATGCTCATTCATGTTTCGTGCCACCTCACAGAGATATAAACAAACTAAAAACCGATTAAAACCTTACCGAACGTACACAACAAGCAATTCTTATTTAAAACCCTAGAAAACACGAAAACCGGATTCCAAGAAACCGATAAACCCGATTGCTTCTGTATCAGTCCCTGCTTTTTTGATCGATCAAATTGAGATCTACAACCAGATCCACAGATTAGCGAATCAATTCGTTAGTTTCAATCAAATTCGAACCAGAAAGAAACTAAAAGAAAACATGCAAGATTAGAACCAACATCCTACAGGTTTCGGCTTTGATTGTTAACGGAGAAAAATTACTTGTTTACTACGATTATTTCTCTCCTTAAAAAGTTTTTCTCTCGAGAGAGATCTGGAATTTTCTCTGCTTCTTGGAGGGTTTAGTTCTCCGTATTGAAATTCGGGAAAGGCGAGGAGATAAGGATCCTTTTATAGACGGAGAAGGAATTTTTTAACGGCTACGATTATCTCATCGGTAGATGAACGGTTCAGGATTGAGCTGCTTCCTTAATACGAGTCATATAGTCGGTTCAATTTATGAATTTTGTTTTTATTTTATTCTTTTCTAACTAATAAAAAATTTTCCTAAATAATACGAATCTAAAAAAAATGGTAATTTAATTATTTAATAAAATAAATTAAAATAAAGCCATAAAA